GAGCCTTGCTAAACTCAGCACAAATAAGAAAAACCGCTTCATTCTTGTGCTGATATCTTTTCCAGCAGAAGCTGAGTAATACAGCTGCAGCTTTAGGTGAGAAGAAGTAGAAATGTCAGCAGAGTACGATGTTAGCCCATCTCCCTGGCAGGGATGTTTAAGAACATCTGTCAGCAACAATCTTAATATTAGGCTTTCCCTGCTAGAACACCAGTAACTCTCTATCTCTGCACCCTGATTATGGACTGTCTGTGCATTTTATTTATTGTGTTTATGTACATAATGTAAGAGGTTTACAAGGACCAAAATAGGAGTCTCTTAGCGGGCATAAATCAACATGCCACTGAACTTATACTGATTTACACCTGCTGATGATCTGGCTAGCAATGTTGTGCCTGAGCTCACATTCTCCCTACTATTTTTTTTTCTTCAGGATTCAGAAAAATAGGGACTCTTTCTGAACACACTGTGTCTCATCAAACTAGGGTGCAGGTGGTGATGAACAAGCTGAATACAGGCTGTGCAATTTAGTTGTATTGATGGAGACAGATTTGCAGGGCTAATCATATCCATTTATGTTTTCAGTCCTGTTGTGTAAATTTTGGAGAGCACCAGGCAAATTTTATCTCATCAAATGTGATAGGTTTTTTTATTTTTTAAAGGCTTCAGGCCCAGTCTGAGGCAAACTGGGACTGAGAGCTCGGTAGTAAAACTGATTTTTCTGCCTGGAAGAAGTTCATATGAACATTATCTCACACTTCCATTTGTACACCTGGGTGTTCCTGGTGATCCACTTTGATTTTGGAACAGAATCAAAGGCAAGCCAGCAAAATCAGCAGGAGTTGTGATTTTTTTTTGTCTGGTTTCAGGTCAACACCTCAGTACGACAATTAATCCCCTACAGTTCTTAACCACAAGACAAGCTTCTCTTTGTTACGTTTACTACCATACTCAGCAGGCAGAGTGACTGGTGGAAGTTAAATCTAGGTTTAGCTTCCTCAAATGCAGCTTGAAGTGCTTTCAGAAGGTATATAAACTTAATGACATGTAGATTTTAGGTTTGTAAAAAATACACAAGTCCTGAAAGATCCTTAATTAATGGGTTTATCTGATTTGAGATAGGGAGGATTATCCCAGTAAGGCCTGATTCAAACTAATTGACATGGGAGGTCATTTTTATTCAGGTGATCTCTGCTGAGAAATCCAGACTGTTGGTGAGAATTAGAAAGATGGATTCTTGCAAGGCATTTGGAGACTAACTGGGTACCCACTGGACCTCCAGAGCATGGCAAAGTTGATTCAGAGGATGTCTAAGTGACAGTTTTGATAGATGCAAGTCAAAAAAGCCAACTGTTACATTTATGAGAGATGTATTTGCTTATGTAGATAGATGCCAATTGATTTTGAGTAAAGTTTAACTTAAGTAATTTTTTTTTTTTAATTGAAGTGTGGATGAAAGAAGCTAAAGGGTTTTCTAATGTGCTGGCAAAAATTCAGTGAGGTCCTGATATTTAAAAAGTACTTTTGTTTCCTTTGTGTTTCTTCTGCTGTCCTGATTTACACAACAGCTTTTCTCTTGAAAGGTAATTTAGGAGCTGCTGTGATTGCAGGTAAGACCAAAGCCTCATCAGGCATGCTCTGCTTGCTGATCAACAAGGACTGAGCATCTGGCCAGTAGTGTCTGAATCACAAAGTTGTGCTAGACCTTAATTTCTGTTTTCACAGAACATTTCTAGGAAGAATAAAATAATCACTGCTGTGGAAAAAACAGTAGGCAACGTAGCCTGACAGTCTTTTGCTAACATAGCTATAATGGTGAAATAATTCCCATAGTGCCCTAAACCTGTGCAGTGATTTTTTTCCTGATAGTGATTAGCATTTTTTTCCTGATCATGATTACTATTTGTCCAGGAGAATGACATCTGTTAGTTTCTCTAATTATATCCTTATGCCAGAAATGGCAGAGGATGTAGTTCCCCGTGTAAAGAAAGATTAGTAGCAGCAGAATAAAAAGAGATTTGTGAATGGTTAGTAAATGGGATGGCTTCATTTCACTGATCTTCATTACTGGTTAATTGCTTTGTAGTTGCTGAGTCCTGGAGAGTTGTGCATATATTCCCATATCATAAACAGTTCACAAATCAACATTCAGGCCAGATGGAAATGGTTAAAGAACAGTCATTTTGTGTGTTTCTGAAAAAAGGAGTAGAAAGATTAATGTATGGGTGAAGGTTTACTTAAATTGCGGTACTCATTGCCATACGAGGTTGTGGATGCTGAAGGTGTGCCTGGACTGGCAAGCCACCTGGACAAATTCTTAAAATCTTACCTAGCTTCTGTTATTAGTCACTGTTGGAGAGGGGTTCAGGCCTGGGTCTTTCAGTGAGATATGTTACTACCATGTTCTTACTGTTCACTAGTTACAGGATGCCAGTCATCTTTCAAAACCAGAAACTATCCCTAATGTCTAAGCTGCTCAGTAATGAACTGGGATACTCCATTGTAAATCTGGAAGACAAACAAGTCAAGATGTTCTTTGCATGAACTCCTGATTTGTGCATAGTGGATTTGTTCATAGCGGGAAGGACTCATTCCTCAATTAATTAAAGGCAAGACAAATAAAGTAAAGAGAACTGATACATTCATGGTGAAGAGAGTGAATATTTTCTCTGACTCTCCTTGTGATCAGATAAGGTTTTTGAAAGATATACACACAAGCTTAGGCTGGAAAGCAGTGGGTATTATGGTTTGATATGTCATACAAAATAACACTTAGCAATAAAGTATACTGAAAAAAGTCCTGCTCTGCTTTAGGAAAGTACTTGAAACGCTCCCCTGACATTTTGCAGAGGCTCGCCAATCTCCAGTAACCACCAATGACCAACTGAGCCAAGAAATATCTCTGGGACAGGCTGGGTGAATTTTCCTTGAGGACATATTGGCATGGAGCTTAAGCTAAACAGAAAAGACTAAAGTATTTCATGGCACAAGATCCCCCCTACTCTTAACTTTTGCTGTGCGTTAGCATTTGCAATTCTCTTTCACCGTTGAAACAGATTAGTTTTGTCAGAGGTTTCCCTTGCAAGATGTCTCCTCCATTCTTGTGTTTTGTGACTTTTCTTGCTGCTTCTTTAGAAGTAGCTGCCATTCTCCAAGAAGAATCCTACTCTAGGTGTCTAAACTTGTCAAAATCAAAGTGTCTGGGGGTCTAAGAGCTGGGAGTTGCTATGTTCTTCTCTCCAGGCACAGCGTGACTTTGTTGTTGTATATTAAAAACAGCAGCTGTTGTTGGAGGTGAGGGTTCTGGAACCGAAAAGCATAATGTCCTAATTACCTATGGCAGGGAAAACATCTGTGCGGGAATACTAATGAAATTAATTCCAGCGCTTAGCAACTGAATACATTAATTGACATTAATTAATGCTAAATTACAAAGTTCTGCCAATGGAATCACATAAAACGTCCATGAGAATCAAATGCTGACACAAAATCCTTGAGTTAATGTGAGCACATCAAAACTTCCCTTAGGAAAAAAGAGGGAAAACAAGCACTGCAAGAAGCCTGTTTTCCTTCTTCCTGTCTCCCATAGCAGAAGGAGCTTTTCTTGGTGTGTACATCTCAGGGTTTGGCTGTTTGGCAGATTAGCTTAAGCAATTTCAGTGCTCTGCCCTTTAGTAGTTATTACTGGCATTTTAGAATTGAAGCCGTGGAGAATTGCACTGTAAAAGTTCACAGGAATTGCCTTAGTAAATCTTCATCAATGGTACAATCACTGCTGTACAGACTCCTGTGATCACAGCAGAAATAGACATAGTTCTCATTCCTCCATTAAAACAGGATTGAAAAAACTTCAGTCACCTCTAATGGATGTCAGCCTGGCCTGCTCTTTAACGTCTCTTGTGGAGGAGATTCCTCAATCTTCTTTGCTGGCTGGTTCCAGCAACACCTCTCCTGTGACCTCCCTGTGCTCTCAGGATAGATACCTGTTTGCATGGGAAGTAAGATGGCACTGCAGTCTCCTCTTGGTGTCTCCCAGGCAGCCAATGTGCCTGTGGAAGTAAAAGGAAACAGTGGTGGTGCGGGGGAAAAAAAGGAAACAAGGTGGGAACCAGAGATCTCATCCTGTATAGCTCCATGCTGCGTGATTTGATCCCACGTGTGAAAAGCCACCCAGTCATGCCAACAGCTCAGGGGGTGGTGGGGCCAGCCATTTCAGTTGGCGCTGCTTTGTTTAAGCTCAGAATTGCGAGACGTTTCACTCAGGACCCCAGAATGAGAGGAGAGGAATGTGGGGGCAGGTATGGGGAGCTGTCCTTCATGATACAATGGATTGAGTTAACAGGAGAAGTGGGAATTGGTTGTGTTGCAGGTGAAGAGATTCATGCCCGTTCTCTGTCTTATGACTGGGAGGGAACATACTGCACCACACAGTGCCATGGGGTGGGAGAAGAGGCTCTGACCCAGTTGTCCCCCTTTCTCTTGGGAGCAGAGGGGACAGAGCTCTGAACAGCTCCGAAAGGGAACTTTGCCTGTGCTCACTGGAAGGACAGTCCGGGAGTTATGTCGTTCCCTGCCCTCTTGTGGCTAAAGTGGAAAAAATCATGGCCCTCTGAAAGGAACTGCCTTTCGATCATGCCGTGCAGGCTGTATGAATTAATGTTTTGCAGTGAGCTGTGAAAACATAAAATGTTATAAACTGCAGTGACTAATAATACTTAGAACTTTATATATTCCAAGAACTATGCAAATACTGGGGTAAAATCATCCCTCATCAAACTTTCCTGAAGGTTCGTTACCCTGCATGTCTGTTTAAAGCAGAAGTCAACAGCCCTTAGAGGCAAGGGAAGAAATGTCAAACGATAGATTTTAATTAAAACCAAGATTAAATATGAGATGGTAAAAATCCAGCCATTTCTACTTCAGTGTAAAATGCTACTTCTCTGATCAGAAAGTGGTAATTATATCAAACAAGGGGCTGCGCTTCTCCAACAAGGAAAAAGATTAGAAGCTGTTCTAAGATTAAATGCGACGTAGTGTTTCTGTCATATAAGTGCTAATGTTAAAATGCCAAAATCCTCCTTCAGGTAAATCAGCTTTGCCATTAAGCAAAAAGCAACTTCTTAATTGATCTGAAAGAGCCCAAATTGAATGCTGAGAATCTGGTTCTGTATTCGAGGATAAATTGCCACCATGAAGAAATTGTTTTTCTTCTGGTGATGGATTATGAGACGAGCACCCTGCAGTGCTTCAGAATAGGAGAAGACGGCATCCCATACAGTGACAGTGGATGAGATGGCTTTAGGGTTGCATTTAGGCTATTTACTTTGAAACATATGACTGATTGAAACTGCTAAGGCCTCTAAGTTTCAAGAGGTGTGGAATGATTGCCCAGGTCTGTCAGAGTGCATCTACTGTGAACAGAGAAGTAGGTAAAACCCCTAAACAGGAGGCAGCATGAATTACTTTCCAAGGTGATCTAAATTACTCTGCACAGTGTAAGTGCCATAGAAAATATAGAGGTGCACCATGGAAGGTGTTCTCAGTGGTGAACACTATGGGGCAGGTGTCCTCTGAAGGTGTCTTCATACTTGTGTATGCTCTGGACCTTGTCCATGTTCTAAATAAACTCAGCATGTAACCGTGGAGAAACTGTCATGCTCTACAGCAAATCCCACACCACGGGGTTGACAGGGAAACTGTAGAGGCTCAGCACAGAGAGTATCTGTCCCGCAGCATAGACACAACTCTTCAGACCCATAGTTACTTTGAGAGTCACAGGACTTGGGCTGTTTGCCTCTGTAAAGTGTCCTTCACAGCTCTGTTGTTCCCTCACTCAGTTTCTTGCTTTCAGCTTAAGTCTGAGTAGCATCCAAGTAAACTCAGCAGGGCAGATAACAGTGCTGAATGATATCACCCTTGACTAGGTTTCTGTCAGACCTGAGCCACAAGCATTACATTGTGCCACCTTCAAATCCCATGTCTGGTCTACTTCCATGAGAGTGGCATGGAGTAATCAGATCAGCTATGCTGGGCTCTCTCTTGGTATAAAGCAGCTCTGATGTAAGGTGGAATGAAAGAAATAATGGGAGGCTGAGGAAGGTGAAGAAGGAAGAAAGTAATCAGTGGTGGATTTACAAGGCATGTAAGGGAAAGAACTGTTGTGTTGCATTGAGTAGATGGTGTCACTTCAAGCCTAAGCAAACAGGTTTGTGTAGGAAGAATCTGTGCTCAGGATCTCAAGTGTCTTGGTTTTGTTCTTTTCCTTTCAGATGCCCAATACATCACCTGCAAAATGCAGAACTGCAGTGAAGCCACTCGCAGCAAACCCTTTCCAGGCTATATTGACCATAACTCCTTGATCGTCCAGGATGATTATGTGTTTGTTCAGGTGCAGAACACCCTCTTCTCTTATTTATTCTATTATTTTATGTTATATTATTCTATATTATATTATTTTCTTTTCCATTCCTTTGCATGCATGTGCATGTGTGTTAGCTCCCAACTAATCAGACAATACTGGATCCAAATAATACAAGCACCGAATGGATTGTAGCAATTCATTACAATGCTAATAGTGTTCTTTTTACCTCTAGTATCTTGTCACTGTAGGGTCATAGAGTTCCTGCTTGGAGCATCCACCATATATACTGGAGTGCTCTGTGCCACTCTGTGCAATCTCATCAGCACTCTAGGATTATTACTGTAACCACCCAGCTTGAAGTGATGTGTCAGTCATCTGTTATTACAAGGGAGTAGACCAAAGATTTTTGAGCATGAGAGGGAAATAGAAAAGGAGGGAGTCAGGAGAAGAACCAAAGAAGGAGCAATCAGGCTTTATTGTTATGCCTCAGTTGTGATATAGTGAAAAGGCTGAAGATGAGATATACTCAGCCAAGCTGTGTTCCAGGTGAGAGCTGGTGAATAGATCTGAACTACTGCAGGTTTCATTAGCCTTCTGCCAGTGTCCATTTAATAACAGCTGAAGAGGACAAAAATAACAACAGAATTGCAGGGAACATGGAGGTGAACTGGAAATTATTAGGACTAAAACGGTCTTCCAGGCAGCTTATATTCTGCCATGCTTGGGGATGGAGGGGAAAAAAGACGACTGATATTTTAAACTGAGTGAGTTGATTACTAACTGCCTTCAGTTAATGAACTCAGTCATAAACACCAGTCTAAATCATCCACACATAAATCTGGGACATACATTACAGAACAGCTTTTGTGCCTAGTGTGTCTAAGGCATAAATGAAATGTTTATGTGATAAGGAAAACAGGGGCACGCATCACTGTTCAGCCATGCTCTCTCATTTCAGAATGACTGTGTGTTTGTGGCTTGAGTGACACAGGACCTGGGGAATTTCTCTTCATATGTGAACTGATTCATTACTTCACCACTGATGCCTTGGTTTTGTGCTTCTCAAGATTTTTAGTCTGTTGTGTTCTGACCTGATGTTATTACACACTGTAGAGAAGCCAACGCCTTTGCCTCATCTGAAGTCATTGCTGGGAGATTGTCTACCTTTCTGGATAACCCTTGCATTTTGATGCATTTCTTTTTCTGTCTATAAACTGTTGTATAGTGTTCCCAGTGCTGTCAAATTTCGGCTTTGTTCCACCTCTGTGCTAGCTGCACAGTGTAAGGGGGAGCATGTGAGGAGAGGCAGCCTCTTATGATGTTCCCCCTAATGCCCAATGGGATTTTGCACAACTTTATATATTCATGTTTGTAATGCAGTTTGGGAAGGTATGTAATATTTGGATTTGGAAAGTTCCTATTTTAATCCTTAAACTTCTTAGGATTCTTAAACAGAAATAAATATAATTGGTCAAAGAGATAGTACTTGCCAATCATTAATAATTGACAGTTATAGGTATGAAATAATAATATTGTAATCCCTGGAAACCACCTCTGCTTGGTTCGAAGTAGTCAGTGAATCCGCTGTTGGCTGGTAATTTAAAACATGGTTCTTCAAATGGTTACGTATGTACCTGGATGTATATGGCTGTCAAGGAACAGCTAAATAACATGCCATGGCTGATCCTGGACCCTGCCTTATCACAGGCACTGTTCTTCAGAGGATGACTAGCCCTATACCAGAGAGTAAAGGCTTGGAAGGATATATGAACACCCTAACACTCTCCCCTAGCCTTCCCTCCCTTCCCTGATCTCCATTTAGCTTTTCTGCAACTAAGGCATTTGGAATGAGAATTAGTAGGTTCAATAGCACAAGGGTAAGGGAATGTGGATTTGTTTCTCCCACTACACCTTGTTTTATTTACAAACTCACACTGTCTCATAAACAATGCTTCTGGCCTTCCTTCCCCTAACTTTTGCCCAATTCCCTTAAAAAAAAAAAATGTTGAAAAGCTTTAAAATAAGAAATAGTTCTTATTTTACTTAATCTGGTATGAACCTAGCCTTTGTGTAACTACTGCAGTGCATTTTAAAACACTTACTACTAAAGAAAAGTCTTGATAAGCCCAGATATCAGGCAATTAAAGCAAAGTTCTGCATGGAGAATCCCTTGGAATATTTATTCTTTAGTATCTTTCATCCAAGGATTTCAAAGTATTTTACAAACATTGATTATACTTCAACAGCACTGGAAGCCAGATAACATTGATAGCTTTTTTTCTTTCTATTCCCCCCCCGCTTTAATAGGTGGTAGGAAATGAAATGTCACATTGCTCTAATCCAGTGTTTTCAAGGTCTTGCCATCAGTATTTAGGCACTTAAATAAATGTCCAGATGCACAGAAATACCAAATCAGCTGAGCTTCTCCTGCCTACAGGAGCTGTGAATGCTTAGCTGATCTCATAACAGATATATATGATGGCTTGTACAGGGCCACACAGGAACCAAAGCTGGAGGCAGAAATAGAAATCCAGCGTCATGTCTGCCAAACTGCGAATCTAACCAATAGCCTACGTGGCGGCTCTGCAGATGGCAAAGAACAGACTGTTTTGTGGTAAGGCAGAGGAGAGCTGTGGTATCAGCAGGTGACATAATGGCCCAAGTGAAGCCAGGACTTCACTTTCCCCAGACCTTCACCTGAAATTCTTGCCTTTGTATCTCTTTGCAGAAAATGGGATTCTTCTTGCTTTCTTTTTTGGTCTCTGTTAGTTGGATCAATGTTTATTCATGGACTGTGATAGTGCTGCAATTTTAAGCCATTGCCACCAACACTGTGGTATTTCCCCCAACAGATTTTGCCTGATATTTTCCCTGCTAATAAAAAACTATTTTTAAAAGTCCTGATGATAACTTTCCTGCTTCTCTCATAGTTGACTTCAGGAGGAAGACCACATTATTACGTTTCTTATAGGAGGAATACATTTGCACAGATGAAGCTGCCAAAGTACTCCTTGCCCAAGGTAGGTTGCTGTTGCTGGAATGCCCGTATGAACCTGTAGGTATTTTGATTGTACAGAAGTTCTTGAATCCAACACAAGTAACTGCAAGATGACATGCAATGAGTGAAAACAACATTCTTTAACAGAACATTTGCAAGCAAGAAAGGAATGAAAACCAAGTCAGCACTTTGGCTAGTCAAGGACATCAGCGTGGAATGTAGACAGATACCACAGCCCATGTCAATTACCATTCCTTTCTGGTTAGTTAATTAAGCTTTGGAGGGGACTTTTTTTTCTTTTTTTTTCTTTCCTTTTTTGTGGTCTTAAAATTCTCTTCTCCTGTCCCTATCCTGTGTGGGTCACTTTTTGTGCTTTGCCTCATTAGCAGATTTTAATGGGAATCAAGCAAAGAGATGTCTTTGTGTGTCTGCTCCATATCTTCCCTAATTAAGAACAATGGTGAATTAGCATTGGAGCTTGAAACGCTATTGCTGCTTTCTGGAGCTGAATTTTTTTAAAAGACTTATATAAAATGTTAGCTCCATTTTGAGGAAATCACCATTTTGCAGCTGGGCTGCTAAGAGCTTCTTAGCAAAGACAGAGGAATTTTTTTTTTTTTTTTTTTTTTTGAGGTCTTTTCATTCTTCGTATAATCTGGCTTAAATGACATTTTAGATCAAAGGTAGCAAATAATTTTGTGATTTATATGTGAGGTCTAACATCTGGAGAAAAATGCATTCTGAGAAATTAAGCAAGGATTGTCAAAAGGAAAAGAAAGTGCAAGGTCAGCCTGTTCTTAGAAATTGAAAGTACCTCAGATTCTGTAGATGGAAATATTCAAAGGGACAATTTGGCTAGTATAACAGCTGACTGTCTTTGATTTCTCACCTCAATTGACCTGTTTACAGTGGATTGACAGGGTGACCTTCATCATATAACCAGACTGCAGCTCAAACCCAGGCCTTCAGTGCCATACTTTACCTGCTCTGCTGTTGTACCCTTCGCTCCTCATATCACGTGAAAACCCAGGCTCACAGGACACTGAGTGAGGACCCTACCAGAAACCATGGTATCTTCTTGGCTCTGACATAGGAGACCTGTGGTCTGCCCCAAAATCTTCAGTCACATTTAAAGATAGTACTGTAAGGCATGGTTTGAAATTTCCTGTCCAAGCAGGAAGGAATTACTCTGTCAATTCAGATCAAATTTCAACAAGTGTTATTTGAAGTAGCCCTTAGCAAAGGAGTTGCATTTTTAGCATGATTACTGTAACACCCAAATCAGAATTGTCATTTACAGCTGATTCAGATCATCTGTAGAGAGACTGCTTGCTTTGAACTGGTTGTCTCCTTTAGCCCAGCCTTTTTTTTCCAACCATCCACCTTCTCAAAGAGGTCTCTGGAGAGCCAGGGAAAATGCACTACAATTAAATTGCAATATGTTCTCTGAGAATAGGAATTGGAGCAACACATTCATGTTATATGACCCAAAGAAAAAGGCAGATATTTAAGGAGGTAAGATGCTTTGTCACAATCTTGGAATATCTTCAAAGACCGAAGAGCTACATTTGGCTTGGAAGGAGCTACAGTAGAGCTGTGGCTGTCTAGTAGGCTGCTATCAAAGCAGGATAGCTGCTTTTATTAAAAATGCACAAAGCGTTATACTATTCGAGGTATTGAAACAAACAGCTTCTTTTATGCCTAAATTCTCTTTTATCTCCTTCAGCTAAGAAAGAGGAGCTAAATATGGTAAAAAGTACTAAGTGACTTCTGGAATTGAAGACACAAATATAAAGCTTTTTGTCTCTGTATGTCACTCTTCCTAAACTGGAGGGGTGTGATGGCAGGCAGCTTTGGCAGGTGATACTGCTGCTCAGGCAGGAATGGCCTACAGCAAATCAAAACTAAAATATTCTTCTTGTTGGCATTGGTTGCCTGGTAGCCAGTTTGATTAAAAGCTTAAGTGAACTTGCAGCTCTCTCCCATACAAGAAGATGCCTGCATATGTGCATACAGGCTGTGTTAACCCTGTACATGGTCTTTATTGAGACCTGTTAATTTCTGCAGTGATGCTGATCTTTGGGTTGGTACTGCTTATTAGGTACCGCAGGACCATAACGTGTGCTCTGTCACAGACTCTGTAATGTCACTCATGATAATCACCTTAACTGTGCACACAGGGTACATTCACTCCATTTTAGACCAATGCACCGGGCAGACATGTGAATACTGAAGCAAGCCAAACAATTTCTCTTTTTAAAAGACCTGTCCTTAACTGGTGCTGGGCTGAATACTGGTGTATGTGGTACCTCTGTTTTAAATTCATCACCTTCTTTCAACCTCAGGATGCAAATCCTGATAGAAGGAAATATAACCACAAAAAAATCCTTAAATACAGATCTTAAAAAGAGCTGACAGTCCCAGTAATTGAGAGGATAAAACAGGCATTACATATCCCTGCCATTTAACTTGCCAGGAAAAAAAATTCCCTGACCAAGTGCAAAAAGGGCAATTGAAGCATGTTTAGCAATTCAGGAAGCCTCGGCCTTTAGTCATTTGAGTAGACACCTGATCAAACCTATGCACAGCATCATGCTTTTACTTTTGTCTTTGGAAAGGTAAGAGGGACAGACAGTAAAACTGCATATTAATGTACTTCCACTATGTGCTGGTACAAAGAAAAGAAAGCTCAGACTCTCAGTAGGCAGATGCATGGGGAGCCCCTGAAGATGGAAATGACTGGGAAAGGTGCCTTGCTTCACTCTCCTGTCCTATTCCCTTTCTGTAGGGAGGTGAAATGAGCATCTGTTGTAGTAGTGGAAGATACAGTGAAGGTCTTGGTCCGTATCAAGATGAAGGCCATCTTTTTGTATTGTTCCTTCTCCAAAAAGAGCAACCCCCACCCTTAAAAAAAAAAAAAGAAAAAAAAAGAAAAAAAGAAGTGAATATGATATGCTGATTAATATTAATCTTCCCATTGTGGAAACCAAAAAGACCTGTCTGATGCCCATATACCAACCTCTTTCTATCAATGCTTTGCATTGTTACTGCATCTACTGGACAAGGCCATATTAAGAGGAAAAGTTAATTGATCCCCAAAGGTCAACAGTTGGAACACTATCTTTTTTGACTTTCTGCACTATGCATATTATGCCAGATCGGTCTCAATCTCTGCTTTTCCAGGCTTAAAATCATTCAGCCTTACTGGGATCTTCTTTAGACTTGCATCTTACAGCAAGATCAAAACACAGGAAGCATCTAGTGAATAAATTAACTTATTTGCTTTTTAAGCATTCATGAAATTGCCTTTAGTTTTTCCTGGTGTTGATCAAAATATCTTTTTACGTCTCTCCCCTAGTTATTACAAAACTGTTGATTAAAATGGTAAGTTAATGAAACTGTACATTTAACAGACAAACCAAGTTTTACTTATAACCTCTGTCTATGTTTAAATAGGGAGGTCTACCCATGTGTATATGCACATGTGCAAAGGTTTAACTTGAGATTAGAGCTGTGCTAGCCAATGGTGCCTTTGGGCACTTTGGGAATACCTACTCATGTAGATCTACCAGCAGATTGACTAGGGTGACAGTCTGAAATAAGGAGCCTTTGACAAACAGCTGTGGCAGTAACTTACACTAGCACAGCTGGAGCTCAGAGAGGATATCTATTCACACCCACAGTTAGTAGGAGGTAGTGGGATTTATATTGCCTTTCCTATTGCCTCAGGGTTTAAGCCAATCTGTTCCTCCACAAAACCAACCTATCTTCTGGGATACATTTTTCTCCAGTGCAAAGCAGCAAATAAATAGAGTGAATATTCATCCACTCCAGACTCGGATCTGGATAAACAAACAACTGTTTGAATCTTATCTTCATGGTGAATCCACTTTCAAATTTATAGATCAGGTTTCTTCATTGCATTATTTTTCATCTTTACATTACAGGGCTCCATCTGGAAATATTAATTCCCCCTTACAAAACCACGAGAAAGTGAATTGTCAAAGACTATTGCTAACAGAAGAAATAAGTATCATCAGCTTCCAAAGAGTATATATTCTGATAAAGTTCCCAGTTTCGCATATAGAAAGCCCTGGCTGAGATTCATGAAAGAGAATAACTTCGGGATATCTGCCCAAAACAGACACAGTTGAATTTTCTGGGGGTCACCTAGTGCTAAGAAATCTGCGGTTTTTTCCTACCTCCACAGATTTTTACAGCATCAAAGAACTAAAGGTGCCTGTGCTGGGCAAATAGAACCTAGGAATTTCATTATTAACAATCTCTCTCGGTGGCTTTTTCCACTGGGTAGTAATTTCTCCAGGCATTGAAAGAGGGAATTGGGTTTAATAGTTTCATTTGTGGTTTTTTTTAAATTATGTAATCATTTCATTGCTTCCTGCCTGCTGTAACACACAGAACAGAGTAAAACAAAACTTCACTCATAACACTAGTGATCTAACTACAGTTCTGCTTTTCACATCTAGTGAGGATTAGGGTTGTCTTTCTGTTATATTTCTTGGGTGGATGTTTAGCACAGTGGTCCAGGGCCTTGGTTTCTAGTCAACGCTGTCATTAGAAATGGTAAACAGCAGCAGCACTGGCTGCAGACATTAACCCATTAGATCCTCCTTGCATCAGTTCCCAAGCGTACTTGGTTTCTGAATGCTAGGCAAGAAGCAGATGTTTCACATGCTGCTTTTTCCTTCTTTAAAAAAAAAAAAAAACCAACACTTTTTTAATATCTGTGATTCCCCAAGTGGAATCACTTAGGTGCCCCACTCCCTACCTTCCCCAACAAAGTACACATTAAAACGAAAGCGTTGGTAGCAGGGGGGAAGTGCTGCCGTATAACGCTGTACTGCCAATATAAATTTTCAATTAATACATCATCAGTTAATTACCACTTTGAAAACTGACAGAAGAGAGCTGGTGTAAAATATTTCTGGATGGAATTATCCGCTTACAAGAGTGTTGTCTACAGTTTCCGATTAAACTCCAGCCTAAATATAACCCGTGCTCCTCCACAATTACTTTGGTGTCCTTGGAAATGACAGAGCAGAGCTCTATCTAGTAACCTTTCTTTCTTTTCTTTCCCCAGGACATGCATGTTATCAGCACTGATGAGAATCAGGTGTTTGCAGCTGTACAAGAGTGGAATCAGAACGACACGTACAACCTGTATATCTCTGACACCCGAGGGGTGTACTTCACCCTGGCCTTGGAAAATGTCAAGAGTAGTCAAGGGCTGGAAGGGAATGTGATGATTGACCTCTATGAGGTATGTCATGACTCCAAACATCTCATACCTATCTCAGGGATTCACATGATGCCAGTACCATTTACTTCTTGCACATCAGTCTCGTTATATGCATGGGAACAGCAGGGCCAAAAAATGACTAAACACATAGTTTTACTGTCCTTTTACTTCAGGGCCTCAGTGCAATCAGCTGAATAATTGCAGGGCCAGGTGTTGAATTTAGGTCCAGCCTAATATTATGAACTCTTATCTACACACTGCTGTACTGTCCTGTTTGTTCTCAGGTGAGGAAGAGCTCATGGCTCTTTCATACATAGGAAGATACGCGTCAGAAGATGTACTGGAATAGTTCATTCACTCCCTGAGAGGAACTCTTTAAGTTTCTCAGCCAAAATCCTGCTGACCCACATTGGTCCAACCTATAGCTCTGAAAGCTCTCAACACTCTTAATAGCATCATTCTCCATTTTTTGTTGTATTTCTGACAGCCAGTCTCTTGTTTTAGAAGTAAGGAGAGACTGCAGTTTTCAGCTATCTTTGTCACCTTCCTCAGTTTGGACTGTTCTGGGAACGGATGTGATTTTAGAGACACCCTCTTGGGCTACTCCATGAGCATGGAAACTCTCCTATCTTATCATGATGTCCCTTTTATCCCTAAGACTTTTCCTGGCAAGTACATTCTGCCTAAGCTCACCTGTAAGAAGACAAATTTACATTGTCTTCTGTGACAAGTGATCCTAAAAATAAGACTTTTAATATGCCTTTATACTTGCCTTGCTCTGTTGCCTGTTTTACTTCTGGAGACAGCACTCAGCTAAGTAGAACTTCAGTCCACAGTTGCTGTTTTGAGGGTTAGCTTCTCTTTTCAGGTCTCTTCCAGAGGATTTTCTGACCATTTAGAATAAAGGCCATGAACTAGATCCGAGTTCCTTTGAAAATTAAGATGTTTCCCATATTTCCCCATCACCATCTGAATATTAGCTCTGTTATATTGTTTGCCTTTGGCTGCCCTTTACTTGGAAACCACCTTGAATTGTCCAAACAGAGAGCCCAAGTGTTGTACATAAATGCAGATGAACTGTAGGAGGATGGACACTGGCATTTCAATCATTTGGAGACTATTACAGTTAATCTCTCTGCAATGCTGGCAGCCCATGGAAAGACTGTTGCCTCTTATTATTGTCAGCTTGAGAAGCAGTTTCACTGCATTATGTAAAGGTGTCCTACATCCCCAGGGGAAAGAAAAACCTTTGTTTTGTTTTATTAAGCTGACACCACACAGTAACCCCGATTGAAATTGATGGAATCAGACTTGTAGCATCATATCTGTTGATTATCTAGGTAGAAAGAATATTGGCTGACACTGAACCTGGCACGAACCATCCTTTCAATTTGATGTTCTAGCTGGAACAGAAAGCCGTCCAGCATGATTCTCCCAGTACGGTTGTTGCAAATGATGAATGCTCTAGGGGTAAATGGAGATGAAGACGAGAGAAGAAAAAAATCCATAGATAAATTAAAAGGAAGTGGAGACAATGTAAAATGAGTCCTCCTGTGGTGACAGCAGTATACTATATTATTATATGTAAGCAAGATCATTTGAGAATATGCCAGAGAAAGACCTGTTAAATGTGTACGTGTCTGGTCTCTATGCATGTCTGTCAGTTGTTAGACCTAACTTCATCTGGTTGCATTGTAGTGAATGTGTTTGTGTGTGTAGATTCCTAAACTGATTCTACATCAAGCATAACTCTGCTCAACAGGGAATTGCATTGGGCATGAAGAGAAAACAGAAGTTCTTTCATGGTGCCTCATCATGTTCTCCCCTCTCTTCTCCTGTAAACAATCAGGAGCCTTTCACTTGGAGTTTTATTTCAGTGTGTGTGCTCTTCTGCTGCTGGACCTTATAGAGGATGAGGAGACCACTCCCAGAGAGACACTATCCCCCCTTCTGCATATTGAACAGAGCAGGGTGTAAGAATAGCTCTTCTCTCCACCACATTCCAGTGGCACTTCATCGGTAGCACATTGAACTCAGCTTTCAGTGGGTCTGCAGCCACAAAGAGGCTGTCTTAGAGACCATCTCCTAGAGCAAAGGAAGAGCAAGAATCACTGGCCATTGGGTCTGAGTGCCCTTTCTAGTTTCTGTACCTCTCCAATGGTATGGATCTGCTTGTCTCTGTAGTCGGACTGGTCTGCAGAAAGACAATCCTGACTGTGGGAATCCATGCATGAAGTGATAACAGACTGTGAGGAGATGTGTTTATAGCTATGGTATATATGCCTATCACTCTGGGACTTACTTTTTTTAGCCATGTGCGTCTTGAATGGGAAGTATATGTTTGACGTATGAAGTTGGTGATGGGGAGTGAAGAATGTGTTTTGAAGTTGTGTGTTTGAGTGTCTTGTATGAGTCTTTCACCAAAGCTGTAGATGGCATTTGTATCTGCACACAATGTATTTGGGGCAGTGAGGATTGTCTACAAAGCCTGTGAGGGAGCTGATGGAGTGCTTTTCTCTCTGGAAGGTGGTCATGCACTTATTTGCATGAGTCTTTCTCTCTTACAACTGTATGAACAGCCGGGGTGAACAGATTACTCTGTGTGTCATGGCTGTGTATATGCAATAGGTGTATCTCTTCCTACTGAGGGAACGCAAGCATGTATAGTGTATGCAGTCTTTTTTTAGGATAAAGGTGTCCAAGACTGACAGTATAACTTACACTTTGCTTTCTCTAGAAAGGATTCTGAGTCCCAGCTCATGACTAGAATCATAAAAAGAAAATTTCACAGGATTTCAGAACACATTTATCACCTGATATATAAAATGCTTTTTAATCATTTATGTCCAGCATTTCACAGGGACTATATAATACAACTATTTCAAGACAACAAAGAAAAGTACAAATGGACCTATAGGCTCTGGCTTCTGGTAATAAAGGCAGAACTATGTTATTTTTCTGGCTCTGTCTGCTCACTGGGAGCCAAAGTACCCTTGCCTTATCAGGGTGCCTTTCTACTACAACAAAGAAATCCTGAATAGTTAGTTGAGTGGTACCAAACAATCCAGCTAAGACATTGAAAATACTTTCTTTTCATTCTTATATCAACAATAAATTAGTTAATTACTTAATGTAAATAATATTGCCCATTATAACAAGTCATGTCTAAGTGTTTACGTAACTTCAAATGAAATTCAGTGCCATTGCTCAAGGAGGAAAGTGCTATTCAGAATGACTAAGTACACCAATGTACTATACCAAAGCACTATGCACTAGTAGTCCCACAACATGTGACTAAAAGTGCAATAAGGTCCTACTCACTGGGAGATGTAGCATCCAAATCCAGCCAAATAATTAAATCAGTTGAGCTGTAACAAACGGAACCTGCTGTGTAACCATTTGCCATGTGATGTCATTTAAGTAATAATCTCTGTGAATAAAAAGTCTTGATGAATGATTCAGTGTACTAGTTCTGCATCATAAGAAGAGAAGGGGTGGATGACTGAGCAGACTTGCTGGAAACCAAAAAGCTTCGCACTTTCCCCCTCCTTCTCCCAATTTTGCTTCCCTTTTTATTGCAACACTCAGATTGCAGAATGACAGCCTAACAAATTCATCCGCAAGCTGCAGCAGCTATTGGGCTATTGATTTTCAGTGTGCTGAGAAGATGGGAACATTCTGCAGTGTGAGTTGTGGTTTGAGGTTGACTTTTTTCTCCCCACTAAGACACTTTTGGGCTTGGTTCCAGTGTGAGTCTGTTAGTATCACATCTTTACAAAATCCTCCTGCAGGTCTATGGAGTAAAGCTGTTAGGTAAAATACCAGGAAAAATAAAAGGATGAGAATCTAATTTTTAGCTCTATAACTAGCATTCTGGGTGACCTTGCTTGAGTCACTAGTGCTTTGGTTTCCTCAAAATAAGAAATTGTAATAAAAGTACCTCTGTGCCCCAAGTCATGCTGTTGAAACACTGATAATTGTGAAACACATTGGGATCCTTAGATGAAATGTCGTAAGCAGGCTGTATGAGAATAGAAGCACTGAGCTGCAAGTTTATGTGTGTGTTGCTATTTTCCTTGCAAGGCCAAAATTGCTGGTGTTTCCTGCTACTTCACTGCAAGAGACAAATAATTGCCCTGTACATGTGTCATCTTTCAGGGGGACGGATGCCTACACAGTTGAGAGATTGTCACTTTACAGATAATGCTATTAACATCTTACCATGCTCCCATACTGATTCTGAAATATATGCTTTCTCTTCTTTTTGTCAACTTTCCAACTGTGATGGTCTTATCTTGTCCCCAACACCTCAATTTGCCTTCCTTTGATGCTCCTTGGCAATTCGTGCCCTGACATCTACCGCACAGACACAGCTACCAGATCCCTGTTGGGTTTGACAGGGCAAGAGAGACACCTGCACAGAACCTGCATCAGCTTGATTTATTTTTCAGCCATGTCAATTTTTCCTAGGTAGCAGGGATAAAGGGAATGTTCTTGGCTAACAAGAAGATTGACAACCAAGTGAAAACTTTCATCACCTACAATAAAGGGAGAGACTGGAGTTTGTTGCAGGCTCCGGACACAGATCTGAGAGGAAACCCCGTTCACTGCCTCCTAGTAAGTACCTTGGGGGGGAGCTTCGGGGGTGGAAACATCTCAGAACAATCTTTTTCTACCAGGTGATACAAGAAGGAGAGGGCAGCTCTAAGAGCTGAGGAGAGGGAATACTGCATATTAAAAGTGCTATACATCAGGCTTGGGCTGCCAGGTGGTATTGCAAGAGCTGGCATTGTAGTTTAGCTTAATTTAATTTAATTTATGGAACAAAAGGAAGCATCGTAGATCAGCTTCCTTCTGCACAATTGATGGTCTCTCCTTAAGCAGCCGGTGAAGCTGGAGGCCGTTTCTGCGCAGTTGATTCTCTGGACACTAGATGGGAGGAGTGAGCTGTTGTAGCTCAGGAACTTTCAGGGACCTCATAACTTGAGACAGGCTCAAAGGAAAGGAGAGCTCTGATTTCTTTCAGGCCACTCTGTTGGCACTATTACTATTTATCATATTCTCCGAGCTCAGAAGTGAGAATCGTCACACTCATCCAAATATACGTATAGCTATGTGTTGGGTGTATACTGCAACTGTCTCTGTACTTGTTGATACAGATTGGCATACAGATAAGTCTTTAATCATTATTATATGCAAATGGCTTCCAAGAGTGAAAGTGAAATATAAGCAGTGTGAATAAAATGAGAGATCACTGTCAAATTAGAAAGCTTAGACTGATCTCAACATGTTTTTCAGCCAATATAATCTATTCACAGTAGTGGGATAATATTCCAAACCCCAGCCTTTAGGATTCTCAATAGCTTTTGTATTACACACATTCTAACATGATTCCAGTCAGAATCAGGGACACTACTTACACTGCTCTTCCTCCTGCTGTCCTGTACCTGCATGTTGTTTTCCAGCTAGGGGAAAAAAAAAAAGAAAACAATGTTGTTTCTCATTTTGAGGCTGTAAGCCTGTTAGAATCTGAATCAGTGTTACATTTTGTGCATTGTGGTATGTAGCTGAATGCTACACTAATCTCTTACCTGAACCACATGCATTATTGCAAGAGCAAAGAATAAATAACTTGATATTAGAAGCTGTTCAAATAATTGATTTTTTGATTGAGCTAAAATGCAAGCCTCTCATTTTCTCTCCAGTTTGGAAAAAATAAATAGGGAGGACTGCGGGTCAAACAGAAGAGCTATTTCAGAGCATGACCAAATTTATTTGGGTTTGTTTTCCTCTTCCAAGTTTTTAAAAATTGTAAGTAAGGGCATTTTTAAATTAAATCTTCCTAGACAATGAAAACAACAAAAAAGTTACTTTCAGAAAACTTTGCAGACATAAAGCAATTGAATTTTTTGGAAGGGGCTATATGTAGAAGTCTTCATGTTTCAAATAGATTGCAATCTAGTTTTAACTCAAGTGAACATATGTGACAAAAAAACTCACACCTTGACTTTTGAACATTATGACCAATTTTATCAGAAATCCAATGTTTTTATTATATGATATGGTAGTGTAATATTTTGGGGGCCTGGCAAGGCAGAAGAAATAAAAAAATGTGGGCAAGTGAAATAAAGTAAGCTCTATTTTCCCATAAATTTGAAGTTTGAGTTCTGAGAAAATGTCTTTCTTGGTATTGTTGCCCACTGATCAAGAGAGATCTGACTTGCCATTGTGGTTGTGAATGCACCAGGTGTACTACTCTGCAGGGTCCTTATCAAACTGTCATTTGCAGGAACTATGTATTTTATATGCAAGGGTATGCTGCCACTGTAGTTATCCATTATATAGTGGAAGTGGTCATATGACTGCGAGACTGGATGGTTCTTGTGGAGAGAGGGGATTATGGCTCCCTTAAGCCTTCCCATCCACGCTGTGTCTGTTACTATACTCATGAGCACCTGGAAACACAATTCGTTTAATTTAAGCTTAGACCAGATATGCCTGGACAAACTGGAATTCCCTTGAGAGTGGTAAACATGACCAAGCCAGGCAAGGGGTCATGAGCAGGGGCAGAAGTGTGGGTACTTATAGGGACACAATGAGAACTGATCCAGAGAAGCTCTTGGTTCTCTGTGGATTGTATTTATATCCCTTTAGCTCCAGTGTTCACAAACCACTATTTAAACACTGGTTCGCTTTTATTTTGCTCTCTATGCAACCATGTAGTTGCCCAGAGAATTGCTTCCACCTATGCAAGCTCAATATAGGCTTGTCATCCTGTTTTCACCGTAGAGTAGCCACTTCCTCAATGCTCTGCAACTTGGGCTGGCGTAGGCATTTCAGGTCTGTGGGCATCTGTAGAAACCCGTTCCATGATTTCAGGGTGGTAAGGGACAGATCCTCAATGGACTTAAACCATGTAGCTCAGTCTTTGCCCTTCTAAAAGAACAGGAAGGAACTTAGTCTGCCATTTGCTGTGATAAGACCAGAGGAATGTTTAGCTATGTTTATTTTATTTTTTTTTCTTCCCTTAACATCAGGTAAAACGGGAATGAAGCCTCTTTCATTGCCTCAGCCTGTCTGCCTCCTTCATGTTTAGGTTGTCACAAGCTAGTGGAATGGTAGCAGAGCAGGGATCATCAGCTGAATCATAGAATCATTAAGGTTGGAAAAGACTTTTAAGATCATCAAGCCCAACCATCAGCCCAACACCACCATGCCCACTAAACCATGTCCCAAAGTGTCATATCTGCATGTTTTTTGAAGACTACCAATGATGGTGACTCCACCACCTCCCTGGGCAGCCTCTTCCAATGTTGGACCACTTAGGTGATTGACTTGCAAATTTACAAGAAAGCAAACAGATGAAATCTGAACTAAACTGATTTGTTAGATCTTTTACAGGAACAAACAGTCTGCCCTGCAAAAGAGAGGGAGGTACAGAAAATGCACCAAAACCACAAAGTAAAATAATAATCCTACAAGACAGCACCAAGCTGTTTAAAAATCGGATTTGAGCTTCACAGTTAATGATGGGGGAAGATGAAGGCAGAACATGGAATGAAAGAATTCAAGAAATGATAGAGAAAATACCACTTAAGTTAGGAGTGGTAGGGAAAATTTTTGAAGTAAAAGTACTGGAAGTGTTGTGCGTTCCTGGAAATAAGTCAGGGATCCATAATGGCATTCTGCTGAGGAAAAGCATGGAGAGAAGGGTTTGTTCCCTGCTCTGAGGCAATTCTGTTCCCTGTCAACATGACATAGCTGTAGTACTTAAACATCTCACAAACTCCACTCACCTCTTTAGCCGAACTCTGTCTACCCCTGCATCACCAAAAGTTTTGTCTCCTTATGTCAGTTGCTCCTTTTGCCTCTACATATTACTGTTTTTGGCATGATCCTGCTTCTCCTTATGGCATCACTAAGTGAATTCTTAGTAGTCCCATCCTTACTCCACAGCAGATCCTAATGCTTTCGCTCTGTTGATTTTCAGCATAATTGCCTCTAAAAACAGCTTGGGACACAGCAATGACGTATGTTTCAGCTTGTTGGAAGAATGGGATCTACCCTTTCCCAGAGTGACAGGATGATTCCCAGTGCAGTGCTGTGTCCTCTGTACATCTGGTCTTTAAACCTAAACTAAGGGAGTGTTAATGCAGAAATAAGTACATATCAGCTAAGTTGGCAGCTAAGGAGATTAAGAGGGAATCTGGTTGAAATACAAGGCAAGCCAGACGGAACCATCCCTCTACTGACAGTACATTCCAGGTGTTTTTTTCAAAGCAACTCAAAGAATTTCTCTGCATTTTTTGTGAGATGGCTCTGAGTAATGAGGGTAGAGGAAAGCAACGAAATTCCATCTGATCCCAAGGTTTTATTTTTCTTGTTTATAACGCTTTTTTTCTATGCTGAATACACTTAATCTTCATAAAATAGCTGCCAAGGTATTATATCTCAAAGATGCTGTTTTTGCTTGATACTTATCTTGTGCTGTGAAGTGGTTAACTGAGGAGTAATTCTACCTTGCAAGTTATGGGCATCTGTCTAGGAGAGTTAATCAATTAGCTTTCCAAGGATGGTCTTGTGGTTAAAACACTGGACTGAATCTCAAGAGAATCTTGATTCAATTTTTAGGCCTATCTCCAATTTCCTATGTGACCTTGGGCAGGTCATTCATTTTCTCTGTGCCTCTCTTCCCCAGACATCTGCTTATTCTCTCCCACATTTAGTTTGTCTTGTCTGTATGGATTATAAGGATTTCAGGACAAAGACCTATTTCTCGTAAGGGAGGGCATTCACACCATCTGCTACAGAATAATTTAAGCATCTAAGCGAGGTGTTTTGAATCTCTCTCCTGGAATTGTTTATTTCTCTTCATTGCTCCTTGCTATTGCAGATGAGCAAATACTGTGACTACCCCTAGGTTTGTGAATGGTGCCTACATCATCCTTGTGTTCTACTACTTTGTCCCACTCCTGATGAGGAACAGTCACTAATAGCTGTTTTGTATGTTTCATGCCATTGGAGACTGTTCAGGTGGGCTTTGCAGAACAGCCAAGAAGTGGGTTTATAGGTATTTTTGAGAAATTTTACTAAAAACTGATGAGCATCCTGAGAGTGGACTCTAAAAGTGCTGGCTTGAAAATATTAGGAAGCAAGTAACGAACTCCAGCATGATTGTAAGAACTATGGCAGTGAGCAGAGCAATGGGCTATGTCACTCATGCTTTATCTTCTACCTAGATTGTAAATGCTCCATGACAGTGGTTGTCTTTCCCTTAGTGTCTGTGCAGCAGCTAGCACTGCTGGGTACTAGGCAATAACAGCGAAACGCAAAATTGGTGATTCTGAGGAAATTAATGTCAGTAACTTGTTGGTAACAACAAGAAATGTAGAGACAATTGATGGAAATTCTAAAAAAGAAAAGCTGAGATGTCTGTATATGAGTTAAGCTATGGGAGCGAGAGGAGGAACACAAAGGGACCAACAGTGTGACGGAAGACAAACCAGTCTGGAAAAATATCTGTCAATGAACTATATAAGGATACAGATGGAGAAGGTTTACATCAGGGATGGAGAAGAGAATGCTGCCAGAGTAAGGAATTGAGACGGTCATGGGTGGTAACTTTAGGTATTTGGCTAGAGTGGAGAGGTTAGTTTTTACACCATACCCAATTGTCACTAGAGACTGTAAGTATTACTGCACTCCAACCAATAGGAAGTCACGCCACTAGAAATACCATCTCACAGGACAGGTGACCTGGCTTTTAGTATTTGAGATATATATTCCATTTCTGTGTACTGTATCTGTGAAATGAGACAAATTTGAAAGAAAACCTGTGGTAGCACAAAGACTTGAGTCTAACAAGGTCTAATCTCTGTCAGAGTGGGGAATGGTCTGAGTTGCTCCCATTAGCTAGTTAGTATATTAGACAATTAGTCTTCAAAATGCTGAAGTGGGCTTGAAGTATGTTAATTTTAAAAATATGTTCTCTATTTTGTCTTTTCACAATGTATAAAAATGTAAAAGGAAAGAATTCATGCTCTTGCAATGCTTTGCCACTTCCTGCATGCGTGTCAGCTCGATTTGGTTTCCACTCCCTCTCTGCGCTCCCGGGCTGCTCCAGCGGCTGCCCTCACAAGGCTGTCAGTTAGAGTTAGGCTGCTCAGTACATTCCACTTGGCAGGTTGTGTTCCCTTCTGTCAACTCGTGTCTCCTTTTCCTGCCTCACATAAGTGAGAGCTCCCATCCCTCCTCACCACTCTCATTTGCCTTTGCCAAAAAAACCCTGCCGTTCTCCACAGGGGGTTTTCATTTCAGAGTCATAGACACGTACTTTGAGATGGGATGGATAAGCTGTCTTCCTTCAGTGACCTGTGGGGCTAGGTGTCCTGCAGACGAAGCCTACAAAACTTTTGGGGCTGCAGACCTAGCCTTTAGGCAGCTGATATTAGGCAGAAAAACCTGCCTCCTTAGGGCCTGAAGGTCTTTCTGCATAGCTTGTCCTGCTCGTCTTACAGAGGCGTGCAAACTGAAGCATTGGGCTTTGCTGTATTTGTGTTCCTGTGTAATGTCCCCCTCAACTGGATCAGTTTGCATCAGGTTTTCTTGCCAGTATTTTTCCACCTCCCTTCCTTTAGCGTTTTTCATGAAGGGCTTTTCATGGGATTTGAAAGAAAAAAATACTGAAAATAAAACCCAAGAGAAGGCAAAAATTATCAGAAATTTTCAGGATTTATCACACTACATATTTGGAGGGAATTGTAATGTCAACTTTGGAAATCTTCTTGACTGTCTTACCTTTTTCCTCAGGTGATTTATTCTGTACAATTCCTGTCTTATCTGAGTACCTGACATACAAAATCAATAACAAATAGGTCAGGTTTCCATGGATGTATTTGTATTGAAATCTCAAAGGTCACATCCAGATGGGGCAATGAAGCATTGTTTTAAACAACTTTTAAACTAACATTTTCCAGTCCTGGTATTTCTTAGTGCAGTGCAGAACAGAGTCATGTGTCAAAAATACTCAGAATGAAGAAATGGTGTGATACTGTCTGAATCAAGTTGTTTCTCATGACTACTTAGCGGTGACTCAGCACCACACCAATGGGGTTATATTGTTTCTTGTTGCATAGATAGCATGGACACTGCTGTTCTGAGAGTCACTTCATCATATCTGCAGCTTTGCTTTCTTATCAAGAGAGCTAGGAGCCAGGGGAGCTGGGTAGTCCTTACCATTACCTGCCCTTGCAAGCCTGGTTGCCTCCTGTGTTGGGTACAGCCTCAAAAATCTTGTCATTGTGAGAGGGTTTCAGCCTAGTGAATCAGTTTCCCAATGGGGATGGGTTGCATCAGAAAATGATAGTGAAGCTCTTGCAACAGAACCAGGACAGTGGCTGTGTCTTTCTAAGAGTGGCTGAATGCAGCAGTTGGGAAATAATACAGAAAGGCACTGTATATTTCTAAGACTGTAGAAATAGGGGCATGCATTTCATGTTGTGTCTGCTTTTTACTTTTATTTCCCCTTTCTCCATAGCCCTATTGCTCCCTTCATCTTCACCTGAAGGTCTCAGATAATCCCTATACCTCAGGAAACATCGCCAGCCGAGACACTGCCCCCAGTATTATTGTAGCTTCAGGTATGAAACATTTAAAGATTGCCTGCAAATGATGTGCAAACACTGACAAAATCTTGAGTTTGTGATGAGTGTGGAGGGTGTTTGAGTGGCTTGTGGGGTGTAACACCACCAGTATTGGGAAGGCGGGCAGGCTGTCAAATGGAAGTCCTTGTGGGCCTTCAACTTCTCATAAGTTTTTTTTTTTTATGGAAACTGGCCTTCAAGATCAAGGAGATCACTTCTAGTCCTCTACTCCCATAAACAGAAGATTCAAATCAGGGCATTTCTTTTGCGTATGGAAGTGTGTAGAGTTGTATGGATTGGATCTTTTACATATACTTTCTTCAAATTGAAAGTCTTTTCCCTTGCCATGCCTTGCCTTGCCTTCCCTAAACTAGGAGTTCTATAATTGCAAAAGGTAAATAAAGACATTTACTCCCCTGATTTGCTAATTCTACTGTTTCTTAGAGTGTCACATCACTAATCAATGCTCATCTTACAGGTAACATAGGCACTGAATTATCAGACGATGACATCAGCATGTTTGTTTCTTCTGATGCTGGGAACACTTGGAGACAGGTGAATGACAGAATCGCAGTATTAAGTAATAATCACAGGGAGTTGTCATAAAAGTAGATTAAACCTGTCACTTAATTTTTGTTTCTTTTGATTCAGTGTAGCTTTTTGAAAATCTTTACAAAAGAGTAAACTTCTCTTCCCTTCTGAGAGGTAGAGGGATGCTTGAAGAAAAAGATTGAATATGTAATTAGACTTCATATAACAGAAAATAATTTTTATCACTCAGAGTTTGACTTAGTTTAACCATGTAGCAAAGACAACAGATTAAAATGTGAATACTAAGGGGAGAGAATGTGTTTCCTTTCGCTTGTACATCCCTGGTACCATCAAACCTTTTTTCTCTTTGTCCATCGTTATACTTTCCTGAGAATCAGCAGTTGCACTGGTCTACTTTCCCTCACTCTGTGTGTGACTCATTTCTCCTAAGCTGAGTTCCCAAAGTCCATGTAAATGGATTATTTTGCCTTGCTCTTAAGCTAGTGGAGAAAAAGACAGAATTCAGGTCATCTTGTTGTGAAGATACCTATCTCTCCAATAATTGTGGAAAGAGACTGGATGATGAAGTTAAATCACGTTCCCAATATTTAGTGGAATCCCACCTGTTCCAAAGCATTGCTACCCTTTAACGTGTTTATCCTCAGAACAGGAGGTTCTATTATTCCTATTTTCTGGATGGGATATCAAGTCTTGAAGAGAAAGTGTGACTTTCCCAGACTGACAAATGCTGTTATATAAACTGGAGAGCAGATGTTTGCAGAAAGCCAATACAAAAATGACACAGGAAAAAAATATCTTTTTAAATATTTGATATTCCAAGAATCTAATTATTTTTCAATGTTTAACCAGCCCTCATTTTTCCATCTTCATCACTTATGTGAGATAGGGCCAGATATGTGCAAACACATGAAGTTCTTCTTTAAACTAAAATCTGTCATCAAAAGGAGGGAAACTGTTGATACTTGCAAAAATTCATGTTTCTAACTTTGTCAAGCAGAGGCAGAATGCCTTTTCCAAAAACCTGGAAAAACTGTCCCACTGCCACCCCCACCCCCCGTAAAACCAAAACCCAGTAACTGTTTCTCTACAGAATGTCTTCCTCTACTCTGTAACTTCCTTAGCACATACCTGTCCTCTGTCATGATCATAGTTAAAGAACTATGCTTTTTTGTTAATACTAAGGAAAATAGGTTTAAATATATGCTTTTTTTTTTTTTTTTTTCAGATCTTTGAGGAAGAGCACAGTGTTCTGTACCTGGATCAAGGTGGAGTACTGGTTGCCATGAAACACACATCTCTGCCTATCAGACATCTCTGGTAACAACTCTGTGCTAAATGTCTGCTTCCCTCTTTTCAGATGCCAGGAAGTAGGCAGCTGGGCTTCATCCAAAGTTTTCTGTAACTACAGTCTAGCAAATATCAGTTAAGATACTGGCAAACATTAACTCAGATAAAGCTAAGAAATCCTGGCAATTCAAGTTCAATTACATAGTTTCAGCTTGGCCAGATCTGAGATACTGTCAATGTAATTCCACAGCTTTCCTGGTTTACCTCAGCTTGTCTTTTTGAGTATGGTTATTTATGTAATACGTACCCAGATTATGGCTTTGTCTCGTTCTTTATTTTCAAAATTATTGATGAACTTGTCTTCTATGTGGCAGGCAGCACTTATTAACCAGAATTTTGTTGAATAGATTCAGTGTTATACAGCCAATAAGGCAAAAGTGTCATCACTAGTTAGCACTCTTGAGTTTGTGTGGTAGATAGAATATAGTTTTGTGCTGTTTTGCTTGATTTACTTCCACTACAATCAGTATCATATCAATATCTGAAACACACAGACCCAGAAGTGATCAGTGATTCCAAGCTTTCACTTAGATCCACCACAGGGAAGACTGCTGGTCAAAAGAGGCAAAGCTCTTGTGCTCCAGAAAACTAACCTCCTTGAAATGTCTTATGTTGGGAACCCAGAAATAAGATACTCAAAACCACTTGTTTATTTTTAAAAAATCCTAGTCCTAGGACATTTTGCCCTTAAAGCATCAATCTCTAACCGTATTAGTTTCTACCACTTAAGTATTGGCCATGGGTTGGTAGTATGACACCCAAAAGGTTTGATCAATGCTCCGAGTTATGATGCTTCCCCAAAAAAATAGTTATTTAAAGGACTAAAAATGCAGTATCCAAGAACAGAAGCTGCTTCCCACTTCTCCATAGCAGCTGTAGTGGACTAGGGAGTCTCCTCAAGTAAAGTAGGAGGAGTGTAAGGAAAGAAGACACTAATTCTGCTTTCTCCACTAGGTTAAGTTTTGATGAAGGGAGATCTTGGAGCAAGTACAGTTTCACATCCCTACCACTGTTTGTAGATGGAGTTCTAGGGGAACCTGGAGAGGAAACTCTCATCATGACGTAAGTGAGCATTCCATCATGCTACTGTTGATGGGAACTGCACCATAAATATCTTGTGAGGGTTCTTCATAACATAATAGCATTTCTGTTTGGGAACCAAACCAAGTGCTGTCTGAAGCCGGGAATATGAAGTCGTCTGTATCTAAATCATCAATGTTTGTTTGTGATATGATTGGGGGAATGACAACAAGGTTCCTTGCAAGCTGCAAAAACATTATCACTTAGCTTATCAGCATGAAACCTGACTCCTCAAACTGAATGTGATTTAAAGCAGAGTTATTCTTGACAGATGAATATTTGAAAGAAAAATGGTGGGGTATTTTTATAACTTTTTTTGCTGCAACTTTCTTTTTTTTTAACTGAGACACAGAAAAATAAAGACATTCTTTTGTAAAAGTGAATGACAAAATGTTGCCTGGAGGCTGACTCATGAAAAATTATGATTAGTTTCAATGTGATACGCTGAGTTCTGCATAGTGCATAAATCTGGATTCACCATGCCAGAAACTCTGACATTTTACCTGAGATCAGATTTGCAAAAACAGGAGGAAAATTCAGTTTCCGTCTGTAAAAAATGGACTGACCTGTGATAAACGGAATGTGTGGCTTGGAAACTAACCTGAGTTGATAGAGATATATGAAGAATATTCCCTTCAGGTTCTGATTTTAACTTGTGTGGAAGGGATTCCCAAATTTTATATCAAAGTCCTATAGGCATAACTGCCTCCAGCCCCATGTCAAGTCTTCTCTGTTATAGTCATTTTGAGAATTGACGTAAGTGAGAGGATCTTGATCCACAGAGTAAAAGCTATATGCAATTTTTAAGAAGGTTGTAGATATTTAGGAGCCTAGGTTTCACTTTTCACTGTGTCAGTCAAGTGAAAATCAGTAGGACTGGCACTCCTAAAGCGATTAATCTCTGTTGGAAATTTGTAGGTACTGTACCCCTGTAACTACCAGACTCCACCTGGTGCTACCTTTTACTGTATGCTCTTTCTGCTGTATTCTGTAGAGTGTTTGGACATTTCAGCCACCGCTCAGAGTGGCAACTGGTGAAAGTGGACTACAAATCCATTTTTGATCGCAGGTGTGCAGAAGAGGACTACAGGCCTTGGCAACTCCATAGCCAGGTAAGAAGCAAGGAGGCTGGGATCTGACTTGAAGTAGCTAATGATCCTACAGTTAAAGATCAGCATGATTCAATATCTTTTCATGTTAGTATGGTGTATCAAATTGTCCCATACTGGATTGGTCTGTTTTGTTACATAGGTGTTGTGGCCTCAGATTGCACTCTGTGAGCCCCAGAGGATGAACACCTGTCTTTTCGGTTTTATTCTCCATGTAAGCAATTAGCTCAGACTTATCCAGAGTTGAAGAGTACAACAACAGCAGAAGCACTGCCACTGAAAGAGGCCTGAACTTACATCTCGCATCCAAGTTCCTTGTCCTTACCTCCTTTCTCTTCCTCCATCCTTCTGTGTCATAGAATCGCAGAATCATTAAGGTTGGAAAAGACCTTTAAGATCATGAAGTCCATCCATCATTCCAACACCACCAAGCCCACTAAACCATATCCTGAAGTCCTCACAGCCAGTGTCTTAATACCCTTCTAGTTGCTTTCACACTTGTTTCTCCAAATGCCTGCCCTCTTAGCCTCATTTCTTGCTCACTTGGTTTCATCCTTGTTCAGTCTCTCTCAGCAAGTGGTACTTGTGCTGTGGGAATTGGGCACTTTATTCCCCAGTTCGTTAGATCCCCATGCCCTGTCCCTTGCATCCTGGATGCAGCTGCAGCGTGACTCCTGGAACCATTGCTTAAAGTGCCCAGCAAGGTAATGCGCTCTGCACAGTGCCTGCGCCTGCCTTGGGGCACCTTCCCAGCTTTGCCAAGTTTGACTCAACAGCCTGTGTTATTTCAGGTTAGAATAAAATATGGCCCAAATTCTGTGGTTATATAAACACTACAGGCACTGTAGTGTTTATATAACACAACTGAAGTCCAAAGTGAAACACGCATTTATATCATCAAAGGTTGTCTTTCTGTATATATCTTGCTGGGCAAGAATTTAATAATGAATATGAAATGAAAGTAGATTGATTCAGACTAGCTGCTCACACAAGGCACAACCCCACACTAAAAATACCGGTTATGACTTAGATCTTTAGATGTTGAAAATCAGTACAGCTTCCTTGAAATGCAAGGAGGTACAGCATTTTACACCAGTTGCCATTCAGGCCCTTCTGTTTCATGGGCAAATCAAAGCCATGAAAAGTTTCTCTTTCCTACAGCAATTTTAACAGCATAAAAGGTAACAAGTGAGACCCCGCTGTATTTTGTTCTTTACTTTCTTGTGCTTGCATAAGCAAAAACACCAAGGATTTTGCAGTATATCTTTGAGGATGTTGGCTTTGGAGCTTGCAGAACTATTTATAGGAAGGCTGCTGTGGACTCTTGCCTTTTGATTTGCTTTCCATTGAGATTACAAGGCTGAGCCTTGCTCTGTAGATAGAAATATTTAGCACGGTGCTGAAAAGACAAGGAAGTTTTAGCATCCACATAACAAGTCAAACCCTGTAAAACCTGAACTCATAGTCTGTGGAAAGTATTTACATATACATGTATTACTAGTTTCTACTGAACAAAATTATTGCCAAAGAGATCAGACCAAAGAAATAAACCTGCTCTGTGTCTCAAACTGAGGAGGGATTGGACTGTGTTTTCAGTTGCTGTGAAACCTAATCTATAAATGAGAAATGGGCCTGAATCAATTACTCATTGGCTTTGAAACAAATTGAGAACTGAATCAGATACATAAGTAACCTCAGATCATTTCTTAGTGTGTATTGGAAAAGCTGTTTTAGTTTCAGTTAAAGCTTCAGTAGCTTTAATTAGCTCCAGTGTACTGACATGGCATTTGACTTCCCATCCTCTTCCCTGAGTCACAGCTCCCATTGCACAGGCTTGGAAAAATTGGGTGATACAAATAGCCTGGTGGGTGTCAGAGAAAGATATTTTTGGTTTTGTTTCCAGGGAGAAGCTTGCATCATGGGAGCGAAAAGGATCTACAGGAAGCGCAAGTCAGAGAAGAAATGCATGCAAGGAAAATATGCTGGGGCTATGACGTCAGAGCCATGCGTGTGCACAGAGGCAGACTTTGACTGGTGAGTACTGGGCACGAGAACTCTGTGCTCTCTGCCACGCCAATGCAGAACTCACTAGAGAGGCTGTAGGCTAGAGAGTAATTAATAAAAATGTAAGTGGCCTAATAGGTTGCTCCCTGATAGCGTAGGTATGTCAAAAGAAGGAAAGGTGGAACAGATATCTGTGATCTGCTAAGACTCCCACAAAATTGATGCTGAACAGATCATTTTCCAGGTCACATCTGAGCTCTGTGCAGCATTAAGATAAAAGGTCCATTTACCACATCTAACCTCAGCAATGACAGGGATGGCTGTGAAAATAGTATGTAAGACACATATAGAGCGCATAAAAAATAAAATAAATTCTTTGTCCCTGCACATACATATATGTGTATATGTGTAAAAGTAAACATATGCAAAGTAGGCCTTCAGCTTCTGGAAATCAAGTATCTAGGGAATTCCTGGGTCATTTGTTCTTTCTGGACCACCATGTTTGATAGTATCAAACGGACGGTGCCTTCGTGATTTGGGTTAATCTCCTTCTGAAGCCTTTTCTCCTCTGTTGTATGCTATAGGAAATAGAGTCCATTGGTGAGTTATGGATGGCGCGATAAAATCTTCAGCTTCTAGTTTCATTTCAAGTTTTCTGCTGACTCACAGCAATTTGCACCAAAAAGGCAGGGAACCACATTATTGAAATCTCTCTATCACCTGTTTTCTCCAAGTCTGAGAAAGTCCTGAGTATCTCAGAAGAGAGAAATGGTGGCTCTTTGGCAGTGCTGATAAACCCCTTTGCGCCTCACTCAACTAGATCTATGCCATGTTATTAATTAAACCCTGAATCTGTAACATACACACTGAAGAGGTTAATCTCATAAATATTTTGTTTCTTGCTATATGAGTTCACTCCAAGACCATGGAAATTTACAGCATTTCCCTTTTCACCCTCTCATAAATGTAGTTATATTGATTTTTCTACATAAAAATTACAGAATCACAGGAGGCTTTTCCATGCGTCAAAACCAGTAAATCCTCTTGCACCAAACAGTAAAAATTATGAGGATACTTGGGCACTTGTCTCTGAATATAGTTTCCTGATGTTTTCCCCATCTGCTGGTGGGTTCTTTGTTAGGGAGAAGATACCTCAGTTCTGTCTGTAGTTTATCATTTAGGTGCCCAAAGGTCCTGGATTCCAACCATTTAACATATATCTAGTAATGTAAAAAAGATGGCAGCCAACCAGAAAAAAAACATGAATAGGAAGGAAATTCCCTGAAAATTTTGACATTCCTGTGGAGTGCGCAGTACAAAGCTGTGCCAAGCCCATGCCCAGGCTCAGGAAAATAACTGATGGGGTTGACTCATGGTCAATCCTTTAATGGTCAAACCTCTTACACTTGTAAGGGGCGCGCATGAGTGAAACACTTCTGATAAAAATATGCTTTCCTTCCAGAACTACTCTCTCTCTGAGAATATATGTTTTTATTTCATTAAAATCGATTGTGTAGTTTGCTACTACAAAGCTTTGTTGCTAGGTACAGAAGAAAAGTACCATGGTGACATTTACTGGGGGAAATATGCTTTTATTTCTTTTACGTTCACTTTGAGGAAGCTTTCTCCAAAAGGTCTGCTGGGTTGTGAGAGAATCTCTAAGAGAAAGCTTGGATGGTTGGGGATGTACAACAGATGCTCACAGTTCACACACACCAACAAGACCCCTCAAATCTGATGGAAGAGGCAGAATTAGGACTTTGCAAAAGTCATCTTGTTAAAAGTAACACGAGGAAAATACCCTTAAAAATACTGCAGGTCTTTCTGCTGAGCTGACTGATAGAAAGCCTTCCTGACCTAGAAGGGCCTTCCTTCTTCTGATGGAATCAGTTTTGGTTTAGAGCAGACTGTCATGATCCCCTCCAATTCTCTCTGAGCTCTTTCTATTCCTACAGTCCTCAGATCTGGATTTTTACTTTATCCACTTCAGCTTCCTTCCCAATTCCTGTGAGGAGAAAAGACCAAAACATTGCTTTAAGCATCCAGTTCAGAAATATTTACCAGCAATATTCATCACTTGTTTATCTACTTAATGCATTCAGGAGCATAGTTTTACATAGATTGGCCAGAGAAGGACAGAAAAGCCACAGGGAACAGAAGACAGAGGTTTATCAAGGAAGAAGAAAAGCCGTGACAAGAAAAAAGCAATTCTGTTGGCTCTACTGAATTTCTCAGCCCAGTTTTATTGTGCTAAGAAAAGCAAAGCTGCTGCTGCATTGTAGCATTCAGTGCCTGCCTTGTTGAACTCTGCACTAGGCTTCACTGCTGCTGCACCCTGCAGAAGTTGGTCCAAAAAGACATTTGGAGGAATATCGGTGAATGAGTTCTTGCTGTGGAAGGATGTCCTCTGTGGGGTCCTTCCTGCAAAAGGGAGAGGCACTTTCATCATCCTCACTCATGACATTTCAGCAGTGTTTTTGAATTCTCTATTTCTCCTTTTTGCTGGGCAGGGCTCTTAATTGAAGGAGACTGAAGAGGGCATGTATCCCACAGGCAGGGAGAAGGCCCTTAGCTAATTGCACTTCATTTTGCAATCTTGAAATAAACTGGGCAGCTTTTTATATTAATGTCAATGATTACAGGACCCAGACTTGTATACAGAATTAAAGTAGACAACAATCTCTGCCCCAATCAGAGTAGGCCTTTCTTTGCTGTTTAAACACTGAATTTGTATAGAGAAAATTTTATTATCTAAGCTTGTCAGAGCTTGGAGTAAAAAAAGTATCTGTGCGGTCAGGTGAAGTGGGGAAAAAAAAAAGTGTTATTGCTGTTAATCCTGCGGGTGCTTTTTTTTTATCAGTTCAGCGAAGAAATGCCAGTTATAGAAGACATAAAGTTTTTATAATGTTTTTTCTCCTGGTAATATCATAGAACTCTGTTTCATTTCAAATCTGTATTCAGCCCAGTCTCAGAGAAAAGGGCACATTTGTTTGTTGTTTTACACAGCAACAAAACTGAGTGACATTAGAAATGACTGTAGTTTCTCTAGCCTTGAGAACCTTAACTCTTCTGACAGTAGACATCTCTTAGCGCGGTCTGGAACCAACACCAGCTGGGGAGCAGGCTGAAGCGGGAAGCGGTGCTCTCCATGCAGCGGCTGAGGCTCACAGCCAGAGGGCAATAGCGCTTCAGGAATAGAGGGGAGCGGGAACGCGCAGCAGCCCTCGGCAAATCTGTCCTAGCAATGGCCTAGAAACGAGGTTGTCCTTCTTCATTTAATTGATTTGGGTAAATGGATGGCACCGTTACTTGTGTGTTATTAAAGCATTAATTTACCCGGTTTCCTTACATTGTGTTCCTTCCTGCTGTTTGAGCATTATTATGGCAATATCTCTTCAGTAGAAACACCTCGTAGACACAGATGGAAATCTTTGGTGGTGTTCATCCTTCAGCTACCTGTCTCCCAGGTCCTTTAATAGAAACTTTGAGTTAAGTGTCTCACTGTCAGTCCTCCCTCTGAACCCACTGTCATTAATACTGAGGGCTGCTTCTATCAGGCTTCTACCAGCATTCCCATATCTCACACCGTTGTGGGAAGGACGAGCCTGTTGATACTGGTGCTGGTGACTTTGGGTAGCCAGAGAGGCACAAAGGAGCCTTAGTGCAATTGAGAATCAGGTCTATTTATTTCACTGATGATATCAGCACGGAGTGTGACTAGCTCTTTTTTTATTGTCTGGCACTTAAATTACAGGCCTGCCTGCTAGGTTTAGTTCTTATGCTACAACGTCAGAGCCCTGCTTCATGAGGAACTGTCCTGACAAACTGCAGGGATGCAGGAGGCAGATACTGAACATGATTAGTCTCTGTTGGCTTCGTATGTTACTGATCCTCAGTTCAGATGATCACGCAGGTGTCAGTTCTGAAATACACATACATTTGCACCCTTAGGCTAACTAGCTTTGCTTTTCATTGAGGTCGGCTTTGTGAGCTAATAAATAGTAATTTTGAATGTATTTTTAGTTCATTTTGAATGCCTGTGGAAAATGCAGATTCACTGTGCAAAGTCTACGGTGCATCTCTGCACCTTTAGGGGCCTAGGTATCTACCAGATATGGATTTAGAGTAAAGATTCTGGGGATTTTATGTTCCCTATTAAGATAAGCTGGTATAGGTTGACTCTAATTACTGTGATGCAATTACGATCATATGCCTTCATAGATCCATAATTCAAACTGCAGCTGGATCTGTCCTTCTCTGAGATAAATCCCATGTCAGAACTGGGAATCAAGCATAGCTCCCCTTTAATACAAATCTACACTTGCATCATAGTTCAGTATTAGACAATGAATTAAGTATTAAATGAATAAAAAGGTGTTGAGACTTTTCCACAGTTGTGGCCAGTTATTTTTTTTTTTTCCAAAAGGGCTTTTGGAAGCTGCAGAACAAAGGTGACTATAATTACAAATACCTTGATTCCATCCCATTTAATGTCTGAAAAGTATGTAAAGCACAGCATGCAAAACCACAAGTAGCATTTTCAGTTTCTGGCATGGTTGACCTTAAGGTGAAGCTGTTAGTGTTAAGGAAGTCTGGTGGTACATGTTCAGTCATCTCTTGATTTTTAGAAGGTATGAGCATGGCAATCACTCATCTGGCTTAACTGGCTATTTCTATATCTCAGAACAGTGGTATTTAATTAATTTCATGTGGATTTACAGTTCTTCCATGACAGTTTGTTTGTCAAACTGCAAAATTCCTTACGGGATTTCTTTTCTTTTGGTTATTACCTGTGCTGCAAATAATCTTAGATAAGGGAATTTTCCAAGACATCTGAGCAGGGATACAGAACTTCTGGAATGAATTAGTACCTGTCTCTAATTACAGAGAAGGACTTGCAATCCTACTTGACTAAGAAAAATAGGATTCCAGTTTAAACCAGTAAAAGCGGCCAGGGCAAAACCATCATCAGTGAGAGTCACAAGATAGGCTGCTTCATACTGATAAAACAATCCCTGCTGGTAAATGCTCCACTCTTTTTCGATAGGTACATTATCTATTTCACCCGGCTTCTTTTCAGGCAGGCACAAAATATCATCAATATATGCAAATTCCAATTCCCAGTTACCAGGCAATGACTCGGCTAGCTGATTGCAGTCTAAAGCTGATGCCTTCCCTGTCTCCAGATTTTGCTATACTGGCTTGTGTTATGGGAATCCAATTGATGCTAATGCTTGTTGATTGCTACAAAGCCTGTTGTGCCAAATTGTAGGCAGCAATTTGTTGTCAGCATCAGTGTTCTGTGTGCACCAGCCTGTAGCCAAGGAATTCATTAGATTCCAAGACTGCGGAGGTGAACGGGCGGCTGGTGCATCTGTAGAGAGATATGGAACAGCAATTCCTGTCATTTACTAGGACGATATTTCTGTAGGGCCTTAATGAGCCAGACGATTTGCAAGGCTGAAAACAACACTGTGAAACTTCTGTGCTTAGAACTATTTCTGCTGTGGAAAATCCTATGATTTCATTCTCTTGACTTTCAGAAATATGATCCAAGTACAGTCAAACCTAGTTAAGTCAAGCTTGGCTTGTCAAGATGTGGAGGTACTAATAGGAACCAAAATTATGCCGTAAGTCTAGATGTGTGTATATTAAGAAATCCCAGACTGATACTGCTGCATCAAATTGGAGTGTGGATACTGATCCCCTCTGAGGTAGATTTCACTGTATTATTTTGTTTTGTTTTCACCTGACTGATTACAGAACATTATGTGTGTACAGTGTTACAGCTTTTTAATTAATGATACATGATAACTTAGGAATACAGTGCTGCAGAGTGTTGACAAATGAATTGCAAAAAAACAAGAGTTCCACTTGTATGTAAATATTTGCTTTCTCTAAGCAAATCAGAATGGTGTTTTTCTTCATTATAAAGTGTATTTTGCAGCTATAGTGTTCTTATTCCAACAGGGATGATTATAGAAGCACATGGCAATGGGAAAATAGGCTAGCTGAAGTTTCCAAAGCGATTAAGCAACATTCAGTCACTAGCATGAATAGGTTGATGAAAATTCAGCCAAAAAAATGAGGAAGAGACCATTTAGGTCATCTACTTGATTGCTGTTTCGTAGAATATGTTCTCACTTACTTGTAGATATCCCAAGCACCACAGCTGCCAAAATGTTCCTTTGAAACAGTTGTGCAGTCTAATAGATGTTTAGGAGTTTTCCCAAGTGATATGCAACTTTAATTTTCCTTTGCTTAATGTCATCTTTTTCATTTCTCTTTTAGATTACTTAAAAACATTTTTTTCTCGATTCAGAAGGAAAAATTGCAGGCAGGAGTAAAAAGCAGTGACAAAATTCTTCTCAATGTCCTGCTTTTAATAACAAGTATAAGAAATTTAGCAAAAATAAAATGCAAAATAGTCTCTCCTTTTTTGTTTTCCTTGTCCCATATCTTAGATCAGTACTAGACTTCTTAAAATTGTTTAATAGTGATTCATTAAATTTTGGTTTTAAGCCATCATGCTTTTGGTCCAGAAAGAAAAAGGCATTTGAAAAAAGTCTTCATTATGTTAAACATTCTTGTTGTTGTTAATATTATTCTACAAATATCACCTGATAGAGGTGAGGCTGCTGCAGCTCTGTGTCCCCTGACCCAGGCAGTAGCAAGGTTGAGTGTTTGTTCCTGATAGGCACACATATGCATGTATGCACAGTACATATACGTGTACGTACGTGGCTGGCAACACAGCCAGAACACAAACACCAGTTGCCTCATCCTGTTCCCCTCTCTGGTTGATCAGGACAAAATCCCATTTGTGAAAAATATGTGCACTGTAAAGATACGTACATACAATATTGATCACACCAGAACCTGGTCTTAGACACCCCGGTCTGTCCAGTATCTGGCCCCTGGATGCCTTGTGTCCCCAGTTGCTGACAACTGGACATCCCCACTTGCCTCATGCATAGACATACACATACGTAACAAGTTTCATGAGCAGGTCCAGACCAATATGGCTTTACACCAGTGGCCGCTCCCCAGACCTCTTGATCTTTCCAATAACCAGTTCAGGAACCTAGTATCCATCCCAGACTTATAACCACATCAGCACCTAGCTCCCATCTTTTATCCTACTCACTGGCTTGTCTGACTTGGTGCTCACCTGTACAGTACACGCACGCTCCAGTCATTCCAGTTGCTAGCAGTGCAGGCACATGGACACCTGTGACCAGTGGTCTGATTCCAGTTGCATGACCACCACATGCACACGGAACAGATAGCCACTCACCCAGGAAAATAGAAATGGAGGTGCCAGATGCTCTTCCCTGGCATGGCCCTGTATGAGCCCTGTACCCCTGTGTGAGCAACCCTGCTCAGTGAGCTGGGGAGAGCCCCTGCTGTTGAGAGGTAGGTCTCACCCCAGCCATGGGCTGATGGCTTTCCTGTGACAGCCCTGGGAGGAGCTGGGGCAGGGGCTCCATTGCCTCTGACCAGGTTATTGGAGTTCCTCTGCCTCCTGTTTTTCTACTCTGCTTCTTTATGTATACAGACGTGAGCCTTTAATCACATAATCTAATGCTCCCCTAATGCTCTTTTCTTAGAATATCAAGCTACTAGATACCAAGACATTAAAGATAATAAGCAAAAAAGTGCTTTGCAAAGAAGTGCCATTTTAAGATCAAGGATCATGTTGTAACTGGAATATTGGAATGGAGTTGGTGGACTCTGTATAGCAGTTCTTAGAAATGGCATCCCATTAACTTCTCCATTATGGGCTATGGAGACAGCTTAGTAAAAAGTGTAAGAATGATTTTCCAACCAAACAGTCCTTATGACTCAATGGCTGCAGAGTAGAAACACATGTGAACAGAATACTGATTAAAGAGGTTTTTTGCTTGTTTATTTGTTCCACAATAACAATTTTTACAGAGCCTTTATTTACCTGGAATCAAAAGCAATTTGAACTGTTGTTTATTTTTAGTGGAACCAAGGCAAATTTAGTCATAGCTAAACCCAAATTGGGAGAAAAGATTACAGTTTGACTCATTGTTTCAAACACATGATTTTTGGTAACATTTCCTCTTTCAAACAAAAATAGAATTGAAGATCGCAGCCACCTTTTCCATTACCAAATATGCTGCTAATGCCTTCAGTTGAGAGCTCTCTCAGGGCTGTAAATTTTCCTCTACAGCTCATGTGATATCGTTTCCAAACACAATTAACTATTTAGCACTTCAGTTTTCTAAGATATGACTGAGATGGCAGTAATTGAACTTAGCTTAGACCTCTAGCTTTTATTATATTTTAGTTTAGAGTTGAACCTGAGAAGCACCATTAGACTGTGGAGGGAGAAGAGATAATGCAGTAGCTCATGAACTACCTGGTCTTGTTCTGCTCGTTTATACTGGGACCTTATATGTAAGAAAAGACTTTCTTCTCCCCAAAGAAAAGCTAGAGTAGGTTGAAGAATCTTTTGTTGTATTAATAAAAAATCAGAAATCCTAGTAAACAGATTGAGGAAAATAAAAACTTGCATCAATAGTAGAAAGTATGAGCTAGTACCTGTATTTGTTCTTGTTTTTTTATGTGACTGTTTCTTTTAATGCTAAAACAGTGATTATGGATATGAACGTCACAGCAATGGGCAGTGTTTACCAGCATTTTGGTATAACCCATCTTCCTTGTCGAAAGACTGTAGCCTTGGGCAGAGTTATCTCAACAGCACTGGGTAAGTGGCACACCAGACTTTATTTAGCTAAAGCATCCTTATGGACTTTAACCCAATGACAACTACACATTGTATTTACTATAGGTGTCTCAAAGCTGGCTAAAGCCCCTGGGGCCTCTTCTTCACTGAGTTTGTTAGGGTGCACAGTCTGGCACTCCAGATCTCCATCATGTATGGTCCAGACTTTTCACTGAAAAATGATGCATTAAAGAAACCTGGGGGGAAAGCTGTAAGGCAAAGGCCAAATCATTAAAGTCTCTGAAAAGACTCTTCTTAAAATCATGTGGGATCAATTGGGGCAGAAACAGTGGAAAACAAACTGGCGGAAACAGATCAAACTAATGAATATGTGAACTGAAGTAATAGGTGGGCAGCTAGTCTGAATGCTGATTATTCTTTGGCCCTCTTGGAAGTCAATGGAAGATGTAGCTTAAGTTAAGATATAGACCTCAAATTTCATTTCTGATGCAAGTGATTAAAACAAAGGAACCCAAGCTCCTTTTTGGCATTTTGTACACTCAAAGATAGGCAAAATTTGCTTTTTTCGTCAACTCTTATTTTTGCAGCTCTTGAGGGCTGCAACTTTAGAGGGAGTTGCCTCACAACTGATGAGAAGTGGAGAGCATGTGAGAAAAGCTGTTAAACTATGCATAAGAGTATAATAATTGAATACAATTCCATACTGTATGTGCATATAATTTATTTATAACTTTATAGTTATTTAATATGTAACATAGACCATCATATAATTTTATGTTTTAGGCAATTTATTAATATGTGGTATATAGGTGTGCTATGCAGGAAAAATACTACATGCTATTAACAACAGTATTAACTACTTGTCTGTTAGACACAAGGAATGCTTGGCTGAAACAAATGCTAAGATACGTTTTGGAATCTGCTTTCTTCCAATCTCCTTAGTCTAAAGAAACCTCAAAAATGCCTCCCTGTTCCCAGTTAACTCTGTTATGTTCCCTGTCAGCATCTTGCACAGATTTCTCTTTTTCCTTTGCAGATACCGGAAAGTTGTTTCTAACAACTGCACGGATGGTGTGAGAGAACGGTACACAGCAAAACCACAGCAATGTCCTGGCAAAGCCCCCCAGGGCCTTCGCATAATCACATCTGATGGCAAACTGACAGCTGAGCAAGGACACAATGTCACTTTCTTGGTGCAGCTGGAAGAGGTAGGCTCTATTTTTATGTTGCATCCCAGGTCCCATGGGTGTATTTAAGTCTGATTCATGCCAGACAAAGTTTGTAAAGTGGTGAAAAGGTAAACCAAGAGAGATAAAAGGATAAAGTCAGTCCACTCCACCATGTAGCTGGGATGGAGTATCCTCAAAAAGGATGATGTGTGGAGATGATGAGACTGAACGTGTATTGTGTTGTGTAGGGTAATGGCTGGAGAAGTTGTTGAAAACTGGGAACTGATTTGGGAATTTCAAAGTAGAACTGGAGAGTGCAGGTTTGAATCCTAATCCCCAGCCTTACCTGTGCTTTTGACGTCTTGCTGTGTTTGAAATTGAATTTCCACTTTTACTTGACACTGACTTTCAACCAAACATGGCTAAAAGTACATATGCAGATCTGTCCCCATCACACAAGGGGTACATATTGTTTAGACGTTTGTATATGAAATCTCACGATGTCGTCAGCAGCATTAAGTCTGGAATTAATTGCAAATGTGAAGCTGATTCAGACTCTGATCAGAGCCTGTGTTTTTGTTACATCTGTAACTTAACTTGGTATTTCACTTGTTCTGTTCCTTCCATTTCTGAATCCTTAGAAAAAATATTTAAAATCTTTTTGCCTGTTTTTATTCCTCAGCAGTTCTTTATCTATGTTTAATTGTAGGCTCCCAAATAATAACATTCACAAAGTAACTATTTTCTCTTCTTCCCTAATGCAGTTTGATTTATTTAAACTTCTACCTTTTTTTCTGTATAGCTGGTCAACAAATCCTAAAGCAGCTATGCTTTTACACTGGGCAAAATGTACATCCCTTTACAGCTTAGAGTATTCATGGAAATTACTTCTGACTCTCTCCATAGTAAATGTCATCTGTAGTGCGGAAAGAGAAATGAGGATGACCTCTGGAGCTGAGTTTTGTAGGGTGTGTGTTAGGGTTTTTACATATCTATTATTGATGCTTTTCCCAGCCAACAGATGTCCTGATTTGTAAAGGCAATAACATATAATAAATCATATCTAACCTGAGGCAGGCATTTGACCTGAATGTTCATTTTCTCCACAACGTAGGTCATTTTAGGATGAGAGGAAATGGCTTCAAGTTGAGCCAGGGGAGGTTTTGATTAGATATTAAGAAAAATTTCTTTACAGAGAGAGTAAATGGTCAAGCATTGGAACAGGCTGCCCAGGGAGGTGGTGGAGTCACCATCATCGGAAGTGTTCAAAAAACATGTGGACGTGGCACTTCAGGACATGGTTTAGTGGGCATGGTGTGTTGGGTTGGTGGTTGGACTTGATGATCTTGAAGGTCTTTTCCAACCTTAATTACTTTGTGATTCTGTGTCACCTTATTTCAGTAGTGACAGTCATACAACATTGCTACTGTAGATGCTGTCATAACAGTATAAACATAATTTCATCTGGATAAATTATTGATTTCTGTGTTTAAAGATGAAGAATAAAAAGTCTAAAACAAGTTTCAAAGTCTTCAGGCTTTTTAAAAAAAAATTAAAAATAATCAAGAAAGGTGGACCCCCCAAAAAAGTGTTCATTGCATCTTCTTTCTATTCTCAGCAAAGTTTAAATCATATTGAGAGAAGGAGATGGGTAATCTGAGAAGTCAGTCACCAAACTGTCAAAAAACTATGCCAGTACTCAGAGGGAGAGCAATGTCTTGCTCTTCATTCTCTGAGCAGTTGAATTCACGTATCCTCTAAGAATGCCCTGACCACTCTTTTATACAAGGATGTCCTGTGAATCTTTCTGTCTTTTCTGTTGATTCTGATCTTTTTTGATAACCCTGCTTCAGTATTCGCCAGAGTCTGAAAGCAACACCTTCTCCATTAGGAGATGGAGTCTTTCTCATACTGTGTATCAGGGAGTACGTAAATTATGTTTTGGTGAGTGAGTTGGCTTCTGAGGAGATCCAAAGCCGGGGCTTGCTTTCAGCCTATCTGGTAAGGAAGAGGTTACGAGTTGCTCTGAGGGCTAAAACAGTACTGATCAACCTCCAGCCTTTCTGATTACTCTGCCTGCTAGATGTGTCTTGAATTAACTGTTTCAGTTTCAGTAACAAAAATCACACCACTCACTAGAAAAGCTAAACAACCCAGCAAAAGTACCACAACTCTTTTATAGAATAGATATTGATTTCACAGAATCACATAATAATTGAGGTTGAAAGGGATGTCTGAAGATTATTTAGTCCAACCCCGCGTCTCAAAGGGAAGTTTCTTTCCCTTGCAAACAAGGCAGAAGTATCACAGAACAAGAACTTGCCATTTTCTGCTTAGTTCTGTCCTGCACAGGTATACAGCATAGTACAATCCAGGATGTTCCTCATCCACAAATCTGTACCACTCCATTTTTGCTAAAGAGAAAGCATCAGGCAAGTTAAAAAAGGCTGCATATGTCTTTGTATGCATGTGCTGTTTTTCCCAATGGCATATGAAGAAAGTGTGTCCTATTCAACCCTTACCCCCTGGAGTGGTGGTCAATATTTTTAAGTGCTTCACCCTTGTGCAGACTCTTCCTTTAGCCTGTGTCACAGTTAATATCTTTTAGGATGGAAAAAACCAACGGCCTTTGTTTATGTTGTAGTCCCTTTGCAACTTAACATTTCCTGTATCCCTCTGAGGCAGTTTGTTTGACACCTTCAGATCTGAAGAGCTGTTATGTACACTGAAGCCTCCCAGCTCTCTTTTTTCATGCCTCTATTCCACTTGACCTGCAGGGGGAAAATAAAAAAAAAAAAACAAAGAAGCTGGTGAGCCAAGGTACAAGAGTTCATTTGAGATTTGCACTCCTGTTATCTTTCTAGGGTTTTCTGCTCCATCCATTTCAGACCTCAGTCTGAAAAGAAAAATGAACTGCAGAGGCAGGCTCACTGGAGACCCTGAAAAGTCACTGGATCTCTGTAGTGGAGGGGTTTGCTAAGAGGGGAGTGAGGCAAATGGTGGCAGTAAAAAACTGTTTTCACTCAGGTGTGGGACTCAGGGGCAGGAACCACAGCGTAAGGGTTTCTTGTAGAGCCTGCCTGTGCTTGTGGTGATGCTGAGGGCAAGGACAGTGTCATTCTGACAATGACACAATGTCAATAAAAGACATCTGAAGAGACAAACAAGGACAAGACATTCAGAAGTGTTCTGCTATTGAAGAAGACACAAAAGGAAAATAATCATTGAAGTCCCTGCAAGTGAAGAGGGGGCAGGCACCAAAAACAGCAGCGCGTAGAGCGTTGCTAATTTTTGAGAGCTGGGATTCTGGCCCAGTTTCTCTAACCCTGACTCACATAAAATTTTCCTGTGAAGCATTTACATCTGGCAGCATATAAATGTCATTAAAAGCAAAACTATCAACAACTCATATTTAAGTGAGAATGCTTTCCAAAGTGGTCTAATTTTCCTGTCACCTTTTAGGATTTCTGTATGAATTCCTAAAAACTGTTTGCAAATTCACCTTGCACTTAGTATCTTTGGTCCTATTATTGGAAAGATTTGTCCAGGTTAGTTCTTCTATTAATCTGTGTAGAATCATCTTGATATTCTTACTGGGTGACAACAGCCAGGAAGCATCAATATTTCCTTTTATACCTAGCGTATATCCCATTGTACGAAGCATTATGGAAGTTTTCAATAAGCAGAGCACCATACTTAGGCTGGTAATTTTGCTCTTAAATTTCCATTGAGTTAAGGAGAATAGCAACAGCATCTCTGTCAATAAATCGCAACACAGGAGAAAACTACTTATGCTTAGCAACAAGTCTTTTGGTTTTTGACTATTTGCTGCTGCTATTGCATGTTTGGATTAGACTAATCTGCGGGGAAAGCTCAATTGTTCCTACAGTTGAGGCCATAGGCTGGAATTCACGCAATCTGAACTCATTCTTGAACCACGCTTTGAGCTCTTTCTGCATGATCTTGAGTAAGAAACTTAACCTTTCTGTTTTTTATTCCTCATTTGAAAATACACCTTTGCTTTCTCCCTGATGCCCTTCATGCCTTTCATTTTTGTGCTTAATGCTCATAAGGGCAGACAACTCTCTCTCTTACTATGTGAATATACAAATGGAGCCCTGAATTTCCTAAAGACCACTATGTTTTTTTGTAACAACAATATTAATAAATGGCTGTACAAGGTACGCTGTGTCTCAGGTACATTTAATGACCTTGGGAACCTGCTGGGCTGGTCAACATCATTAGCATTTCCCACCTCAGTACTGTTGTTCGGTGCAATTCAGAATTCAACTCAGCTGAAGTCTCTGGAGATGAGCTTAGCACTAAGATTGTTTTGATTGTTGATGTACTCAAATTAAAGATGCAAAGCTAGTAGTACTTAAAAGCATAGTCTGTTTTTTTTCCATTATATCCTACTGTGTTCCCTCTTTTGGTATCACAGGTTAGTAATGATCACAAAACCATGAAACCTTCATCCTAACTTTCAATGCACGTGCTGAATCATGGGTGTTTATCTTACTAACACCACCACATTCATGTTAATTACACACAGACGAAGGATCTGTCCATCCCCCCCTTACCCCGTCATCTGAATTATAATTGCATTTTCTGTGTTACTGATGATGACAAGCTTGTTGGGAGAAATCAGAGCCTTTCATGCATTTTTAAATTCACTGCTGAAATTCCATGAAAATGTATGAAAGTTGACCTCACCTTCATGATGACACACAGTACTACAGTCTTCTAATGCAGCTCCAGTCACACAAGTTGAATTATCCTGCATAATCCTGAGGCGCTGTACTTACTGATTCCTGTGGAGTACAGAAGATCTAGTCTTGTAGAAAAAGCTCATAGCTGCATTGAGCTGGCACAACTGGCAGTTAAAATAAATGATTTAATTAATAAAATTAACTGTTTTGGTGTAGAAAAAGAAGCACATGTAAAAAGTATCAAGCTATTTGCTCTCATAAAAGACACATTTCTATTCAGTTTCTGATTTTAAAAAAATAAGGGCATCTCTCTGAAAGCATGAATTTACA